CTAGTATCTTTAGTGTCAAGTGTACTATATCGACATCACGGTGCTGAAAGTCCAAGTCATGGAGTCATGTTTTACTGGTCAAGAGAAGCAATCGAAACAGACCAGCAATGCCTTTAAAATCACTTAGATATAAAAGTTCTGCCATCACGTTGAAGCAGAATTCCAACGGAGGAAAAATCTTTGCCAAATTTCGATATCTTCAACATACGAAGAACTTCTGCTTCAGCCAACTGAGGACGTGCTTATCTGGAATTTTCTGTCGTTCAGACTTTCCAGCAATATTCTTTGTAAAGGGGTTTCACACAGCATCCTTAGCACATCTGTCCGGACATTCAAAATTTACAAAAACAGCAGTTTTGTCCATTTCCATTTTCCTTTACGACAGAACCAAGAAAGCTGAATGCTGGAGTTCTTGACACAAGTTTTTCCCTTTTTCCGCAACATTTTTTCCTCTTCTGACCGAGAAGCTCATTTTTCCTGATCTACTTTCCACGCTTCATACTTCGGAAAGAGCTTCTTAGGTTCGCATGTGTGCGCAGGTACATATTATGGAGGCCAAGTGCAGTCACGCGAAAGATTTGAAAATTTGGAATTGTGCCATACATGTTTATACTGCATGTTAAGCCATCTGGAAGTCAAAGAATGACAAAGAGACTGCCCGGTCAGAAAAGATACCGTTATCAGCTGTCATATATGGAAAACGGCGACAAGTATCAGAGCAATTTATGGTTTCACCAACATTCATGAAAAAATCCTATAATTTATCCTTGAATTATAATGAGCAATGACAAAAGAAGACAAGAATGAGTAAATAAACAGACCTTTTCGAAAGGCAAGAGAAATCACCTCATCCAAGAGAGCAAAACAATGACCAATAAAAGGAGAACCCAGTGAAAAGTTATTATTCAGACTCGTACTCCAGTCCAACTGGCGGAGGGATTCTAGGTAGTGCGTAGAACAATGAATACATGGGTTTATGACAAAAGCCGTCACATCACATGTCTTTCACTATCAAATCATCATTATGCAGAGCCAGTAAGAACCAATGTAGGAAACTGAGATGCAATACCGAAAGTGTCACCCAACGAAACTTGCAAAAGCATGGCACAAACATTGAAACAGTTTACGGATGGAGCATAACGGAGTTTTCATGACCTTATAAAGGCTTGATGTAAAGCGTGTAATAAGGTGACAATTCCATTAAAGACGTTTCAATACGAAACTATCCTCACCGCTGAGCATTCGCTAATTTCCTACCACCGAAGTCATATTTAACCAAATACGGTATATCTTTCACGTTGGATTCACATCGTTAGTTCCAATCTACTTCATAGCAAAACAATATTAAGCATTATTACAATATTATCACACGGCTCCATTGAACAAACATACTCGTAATACGCAATAAAAGCATCTCATTCATGCACTAGATGGCTAAACATGGTGTACGTCAACACAAGACCGAAAACCACCTCTAAAGAATGCAATCGAGAGGCGAATAAGGCTTTTCAGAACAAATCCAAAAACGTACTCAACAGAGAGCATAGCTGCGCTTGTCAACGTTCATCGACCTCGGTAAATTACAATTTTTTAAATAATTTGATTTATAAGCACTACGTACAGGAAGGATTGTAGGATAAATAAAAACTACTTTAAAAAATATATAAAAAAGTTAGTCATCTTAATGTAACATAACGCACTTTTAAAAAGATGCAAAACCTGCTCTGAAAGCTAGTTAGATACTCAATCATCGCCTAGAAATTCAGTAATGTGTTAAAGCGCAGTCCAGGAACGACTAAGATCAGATTACTTAACACGGAAGGAAGTCAGCTGTATCATGGATGTCACTAGTAAAATCTATTGCTGCAAAGCGTAAACCAATCATGATTAGCTACTTTACACTAGACGGGAGAATTAATAAACAGATGTATAAACGAAAAAGCTATTAAAAATTTCATAATTTCATTCATTTTCAGAACCAATTATTCATATACTGATACTGTGATCATGGGGAAAATTTCATGAAACATACAAGTTAACTAACTTAGTCAATTATTCAACTAATTTGTGTATGAACTGTGTTGATTTTTCGAAATTTAGTATTAACCAGGCTTTACTGCAATGGTAACAAAACAACGATAAAAAAGTGCTAGTCACCTTCATGACCCGACAGTTGCACCCAACTGGCTAGTCTTTCAAGGAGCCATTTCTCTAACGGCAGTAAAACAGGAACACACGTTTCGATCGACTTCTAAAACAAGTTTATGAGCCAATGATTTAAATATATTCAACAGATATGCATGTTCTGGGAAGCGAGCGAAGCGAAGCTGCCTCTAGAAATAAGTTGTTAAAAAAAAAGTTCAGGTGAAACATAAAGAGTTACCAACATAATAAAATGCATCGAATAGTATAACTGGGCGAAAGTTAAACATGCACCTATCGACCTGCCAAGTTAGCACGATGAAGCCTAGCCAAAATCTTCAGTGAGCATACAGCTGATACCAACGATGATTCTTTTCCTTTTGAGGAATCAAGGAAATAGCAGAACTGGCATAAAGCTGAGGTACTAACAAAAGGCACATTGTGATTAACTACCTTTCGACTAATTTGAGGTAGTTTGACATCGTACGTTTGATTCGCAGAATTACGTTGATTGATATACACGACTGCGGAGTTTACAGGAAATTTCACATGCGAAAAATGGTGTGGCTTATTCCATTATCAGACGGTTTTAGTCTAATCATAGGCTGACGCAGGCTGAATGACAGCAGAACTGATAGGCTAGTTGTCAGAATGATAAAATTGATTGCGAATGTTGCAAAGAATTTCAAAGGCTGGACAATATTCGAATATGCATGAGACAATAAGCGCTTTGTAATCGAAGACTGCATACGTGCATCCTTCGGTTTTACATAACAGTTACATCTGATACATCTGATCACGAATATGAATTTCCTCAGCGAAGCCATGTGCAGTGACATAACTCAATAGGAATGGCTGAATGAGGATGAATAATCCGGGTTCTGGCTGAAACTTCACATAATATACTTCGTAGTTTTTGAGGCGGCTTAGAGGCACTAAACATCAACGAACCAGGTTGACCGAGTAGGGGGCGAATTTTCTAACATTTCAACGCTGTCACTGCCAGAGACCATGGCTTTTTGGGGGTTTATTCCAATGCCGACAACGCGTTTTGATTATCACCGAAGCATATAGTAGGAATGTCATCATTTTTTAAACCTATGTCGATCAATCGCTCGATGAACGCCTCAAAGAATTTATCCTATACTTCTGTTTTCAACCATTTTCACCCGTGCTCATCAAATGAGTTTCTTAAGCTCATCCTGCCATCGATGGGACAGATTTCCTAAGCACAGTTTATTCTCTCTTGGAACCAAATCTGACGTCGTCCTGGCCCAACGATG